AAGAGGAAGAAGAAGAACTCTCTCTCTCTCTCTGTCCGGTACTAACCTGTGAAGCTGGCGCCTTGATGCAGGTACCTCGAAGATGGAGCTGGAGCTATGGCGCCACAGGTAAGTCTCACTGGCCTCCGCCAGCCATCTCTCTCCAAAACTACTTCAACTACTACTAGCGCCCTGCGCTGAAGACGACTCCTGCAGCTACTAGCGCCCAGCGCTGAAGACTACTGCTAGCGCCAACGCTACTCCTGCAGCGCTCCTCCAGAGTGCTGCTGCTGAATCCTGAAGACTACTCCTGCCTCGGCCTCTGACTGCCCGTGAAGTGGTGCCTCCTGACTGCCTGCAGCTGCAGGAGGCTGCTCTTGCCAATGCCGAAGTGATCCAGGGCCTGCCGCTGCAGCTCGTGGGAACAGGCCAAAAATAGCCTGTTCCCGAAACCCTGGTTTGGTGCCTGAGTGTTAGGGCAGGTCGATCTTATGAGGGCCCGAAAGTGGCCCTCCGTTTCAGGCTGAAAAGACTCAGGGCCTGGAAGGCCCTGTTTTAGGCTGAAACGACATAGGGCCTGCAGGCCCTCGTTTTTCAGTCTTTCAGGCTGAAACGACACGGGGCCTGTAAGCCCTTGTTTTTAGGCTTTTAGGCTGAGACCGCGGGACAGGCCCTGCAGGCCCGTGGGGCTGCGCAGTATGCCACATCTACTGAGACCAAAAAGAAAGGAAAAACAAAAAACTAGTCGTCAAATAGTGCAAAAGTTGTACTAGGCTTTACCCGCTTTGCTTTCACAATGAATGCAACAATGCTCGTTTCTTGGAGACCGCAGCAGCGGTATGCACTCTTTTTTTTTTCTCATTTTTAGGTGTTTTGCAATTCTATTTAGAATGTATGATCTTTGAGCAAATCAAATACGCTTTGGAAAGTTTGGATGCAAAAAAAACTTCTAAAAAATCCAAAATCGATGAAAGTAAGAAAAATGCTTATTCAGAAAAAAAGTTAAAAAACACAACATAATTGAACATATCCCCCCCCCCAAAAAAAAACGATTTCTGAATTTATTTTGTTTCATGATTTCATCATTCATTGTAGTGGTCTGACTAGCCATGCCTATCACTGCCCAAGCGATGTCTGATCCGCAATTCTTGTCAACTTATTTTTGTAGCCCCCATCCAGATCAAGATCCACCTGCACGCTTCCCAACGTCCATAATACTCGTTCAGATGTGACACCCTGCCTTCAACCTTGAACGCCAATGTCACGCAAGGGATAGGCAGAAAAGTCCTTCATCCACGCTTATGTTAGGTCGCTTGGCATGTTCAGAAAGTCGTATTATATACTTCTCACAAACCACCAGTACCTCACCCAACTATCAAGTTCAAGCCTCAAGCTACCGGTAAGTCGAGCCTTGCCAAGCCTAGACCTACCGGTATTTCTTCCTTCCTTTTTTCTTTCTTTTTTTTGGGACTGTTTCTCGATTTATGTGTGTCATCCTTTCGCAGGCGCCATGTTAATCTTCTCTGTATCGTTCCAATTTTAAGTTTTTAACGGATGTCGATTTTCTTCCTTCCTAAGAACACAAGAAACAAAAAAAAGCAAAGGAAAAGAAAAAAAAAAAAACAGCGAACGAGATTTTAAAAAGAACAACTGGACCTGCCGCAGCTACGCTGCGGCGAAGGGTGATGACAAAAACATTTTGCGAAACACCCCAGCCATCAGTTGGACCCCATCTTTGCAATGTACCCTTACCGGACGCGGCCCAACTTTGCAAAATGGCCTGGAAGTTGCCAAGTTTTCGTAGGTGCAATTGCAAAAGGCCAAGCGAATTTGCACACTCACCTGACAGGGGTATAACCGTATAACACAAACATGTCAGTCCAAAAGGCCATTCCACTGTGTTCATATCTTTTAGGGACATTTTGACATATATCTCAACTTATGGGGGTATTTGGAAAATTATACCCCCCCCCAAAAAAAAATAAAGGAGTCTCTCTCTCTCTCCTCCCCACAAAAAAGGACTCTCTCTCTCTCTCTCTCTCTCTCTCT